AAAAGGAAGCCTGCACAGATAAAAGGAGGAGGCTGAGTGTGAGTGCCCAGGGATGAAGTGGCAGATGAAGAGACAGGAAATACAGTGTGATAATCAAGTCTTCTTGAGAAAGGGATACTAAGGAATGTGCAAGATGGGTACAGTTGCAGTCTACAAATTAGGAACAGAAAGCAGAGATGGTTGACTAGGGATAATTGTGGGTGGACCTCACAGATGTTATGGTTCTATGTCAGGGACATTCTGGCTGGAAAGTGCCAGGGTGCACTAGAATAAGGGAGGGCAAGTTCAACACAGAAAAGAGGACCCCAATCTCAAGACCAGGCTGTTGGGGAGTTGAAAAAAAGGTCTAGGTATAAATTTATAACCCAACAGTTCCCATTCTGTTTTTGTACACTAGTGAACCAGAGGATATCCTAGCTGTTTGTGTGTGGTTTAGTATGTGGGAACAAGAATTTCTTTGATTAGAATGTAGACCGATGGGGTTGGGGGGGGTAGATGGGAAGGGATGGGAAGAGGAAACAGAGGAGGAGGCAACATTTCTTGTTAAGAAATGTACTCATTACCTTGCCCATGTAATTGTAACTCCTCTGTACGGTATTTTCACAATAGAAAAAAAAGAATGTAGACCAACACAAAATATTGATGTACATTAAAGATGAGTAGGGTGTTCATGCAACTCTTTTTAATTGTGAAAATACTGTACAGAGGAGTTACAATTACATGGACAAGATAATGAGTACATTTCTTATCAAGCATTGTAGCCTCCTCCTTTGTTTCCCCTTCCCATCCTCCACCCCCCACCCCCGCCCAATCATGCAACGCTTATCTGTCTCTCTGCTTCTCTCTTTCCCCCCCCTCCACTCCCCACTTCCTCCAAATAGCCACTTTGCTCTTCTCTCAATGTGGCCTCCTCTATCTGTCAGACAACTTTGCCTATTATAAATTGTATTAATAGCACTTATTACCATTTACTTGGTAATTTTTTGGTGCCAGTATTGAGGCTTGAACTCAAGACCTGGGTGCTTTCACTTAGCCTTGTCATGCAAGACAACCACATCTCAATTTCCAGCTTTTTGTTGGTTAATTGGAGGTGAGAGTCTTATGGACTTTCCTGCCCAGGCTGGCTTTAAAACCTCCATCCTCAGATCTCAGCTTCCTGAGTAGTGAGGATTACAGGCTTGAGCTGTACAATTATGGGCTTGGCACCCAAAGACCCTGGATAGTAGATTTCAGTGCAAGTGAATTTCTTGACATCAGAGCTGGCACAAAAACTATACCAAATATATGATAACTCCCCCAATCAAAGTACTCTAGAATGAGTTCTTACTGGCCTAATTTGGAACACATACCTGGAGCAATACTAAGACTGGCCAGTAAAAGACTACTCTTTGATCACAGAGACAGATTCCACTATTAGAAAAATGTTGAAAAGTTACACTGAGCAAACAAAAGTAACAGCCATAAAATTTTCTAAGTACATAGTAATATGGCCACATCAAGAGAAAGGTAAATTAGCCAAGTGCTGGTGTCTACACCGGCAATCCTAGCTACTTAGGAGACTGAGATCTGAGGATCATCGTTTGAAGCCAGCCCAGACAGGAAAAAATGAGACTCTTTTATCTCCAATTAATCACCAAAAAGACTTGAGCTGTAGCTCAAGTAGTAGAGTGCAAGCCTTGAGCAAAAAAAAACTCAGGGACAGTGCCTGCCCTGAGTTTAAGCCCGAGGACTGGCACGAAAGGAAGGAAAGAAGGAAGCAACGAAGGAAGCAAGCAACAAAGGGAGAAGAGAGAGGAAGGGAGGGAGGAAAGAAGGGAGAGAGGAAGGAAGGAAGGAAGGGAGGGAGGGAGTGAAGGAAGGAAAAGAGAAAAGAGAAAGAAAAAGAAAGAGGGAAAAGGAAAGAAAGAAAAGGAAAGGAAGGAAGGAAGGAAAGAAAGAAAGGTAAATTTGTTCAACACTGCATAGTCACCTGGAAGTTTATTTGGAAGAACATTGAGCTCATCTCACACCATATATAAGGAACACCACATAGCTACATATGAATAATGAAATTTATCATCTGTTGCATACAGGCCAAAGGAGAGATTTGTCTATCTACAGACAAAGTTCCAAAGAGAATCTGCTTATGCCAAGATGAAAGCACAATGAAGTGGGAACACTTAGCTTCCAACTAGTAATATCTTTATTTCTATTACTGCGCCTTTTACATAGGAATTTACAGAAATTAAAAGCACCATACTGGCTTATGCTACATTTTTGTCTGTGCAGACTCCCCTCCACCCTTCTGTGCCCACCTGGGCTCACCTGTAGATATCTCTGGCTGGGTTTTTCAAAGGAAGGTTCTAGCAATGTGTGCCATAATTCTGCTAGGTTGATGGTGTCTGCTTCAGGATATCAGCTCTTGCTAGAATCTGATAATGCTGTCTCCATCTTCATCCCTTGAGGATTCAACATGGAAATGGTTTCCTATAGGTACCACTTTTGAGGTGTTTCAATATTATTTCTTCTTAGTCCATACCACTGTAATATGTTTGCCATTAAAATTTTTGTACTACATTTTCATCAGAGAAACCAATGGCTTATTTTTTTTTAATCATCCTGAGAGGGACTTACGAAAAGAAATTCATTTCCCAAATCACTATATGTAGTACTTAGAAAAGTGTTCCTCTGTATCAGCTGAAATTCTTCCAGCTGTTAAGTGTCACACAGGCCTAAGAATAAACAAGGAACAGTTACTATCACAGTCAGGACAAAGTCCCAGAATGGAAGAGTTACAGAGTTGAGCAGCTCAGTGACATGTCTGGGCCAGCTTTTTCCCCTCACAAATTTTCATCTTCCGAACCCAGATTATAAACCTGTATCACAGACATGGAAAAGTCCAGAAGATGTCTCTTACATCTTACCATGTCATGACAATATTTCAACACTGATGTATTTCCTTAACTACTGCAGAGAATTCTCTGAACTTCTCACTACTCACATATTCATTCCAACAAAATGGCTCAAATGGAATTTCCATTGTAATCTAATCTGGATTCATTGCTCCCCGTGCCCCCAAAGTCACCTGTGGGAAGGAACAGGGAAGAAGTAGGTGGCCACTTAAAACTGTGTATTCCCAGAAGCACCAGGAACAACAGAACAGAGGCAGAGAAACGATGATAGTCTATAGTTGTACATATAAATACACAATTCTTGAGGGTTATATATATCATGCTTAAATAGGTCCACAATGAAGTGCTAAGAGTCTGAAAGTAAAATTCCATAAAATGCTGCCATTTTTAATCTGTAAAGTGTAGTATAAATGTTTAGAGTTGATGTATATTTGTGTATTCATTAAAAAAAACACCATAGTTACTGACAACATTTATATGTTGTCATATAAAACCTCAGAAAAATACTATTTGATTTCTTAACTGAAAAGTTAGTTTGGTAATAATGGCCATGTTCATTCAGATATGCCAGAAAGCAGTCCAAAGTAGATGATATAGCTCTTGCTGAAATTCTGTGTCACTTAATATACTATACAAGCTATAGAGACTGATAGTATTTAGAATCAGGCTGATTGAGAGGTAATTAAAAACCTCACAATCTTTAGTTGTCCTTCATAATGAGGCAGGTAAGTAATAATAGCCAATGGCCATTAGCTATTTCAGGAAGTAGAAAAATGGGCATGTGATTTGTACTCTAAATCTGCCACATACATTTTCATACATACTCAGAGAAATGCTGGTTAAGTATTAGACAACAGATTCTCTGATAAAATAAACCCTTGACATATAGTTAATCAATTTCCATGGTATAAATATTCTAACTAAGGCCTAGCTACCAACATGATGGTGTGTGTATCATGTCAGAAAGAGATGTGAGCATAGCACAACATGACACAGATCATTCAGAGCCAGTAACAAGAGAAATCCAATCCACAAAGATGACAGTGAAGAGCAGCAACATTATTAGAAAGTGATAGATAATGTATTTCCTTTGCTGTTAATACAACTGATCTATGAACTTTAAATAATAACTGTGTTTCCCAGCTGGCTCAACAAATTCCTGAAAATTCACCAAGGAGTGACATTACATCACCAAATGTATGCAGGTATGAGAATACACATATATCTACCTATGCATACATATAAGTACATACATTCACATTACACATGTATAGACACATATATAATCGTATTAACCTATAAAGACACTGTGGTATTTAGTATGGAAAGTATTAATATATACCTTAAGTTACTAAAATTAGGAGTTCATATTTTCTCCTCATAACCATGTTGGGCTCTAATATACAAACCAAGTCCACCCCAAATTTCTGTTACACTAGCATACTCACATAAAAGTCTAAAAACATCAGGGATTCTTCATATATATGCATGTTTAATGCTACTGTGATTCAGTTTTTAGCTTCAGATGCCACAATGACTATGGATAAAATAAATATTGCACATTATATTTACAATACAGTTTTGGTATCACAATTGGAAGATGTTATTAAGCAATATAAATTCTAAAGACTTTTTCTAAACACATTATTTCCCTTCCGTACAATTTCCAATGAAAAGTTTAAATTTTTCTTGAAAGCACTCCATTATTTTAAAAGATGCTACTTTCAAGTTACTTCCTAGCATCCTTTTTTTCCCCAAAAATTTTTGTGATTAAGTGGTTATATAATTTCCCAAATTTCACAGTATTGTGGGATAGTGATGCTCAGTTAAAGTCAAAAACACACTCTAACTTTCCTGGAGCAAATTGTCTATCATGGTCTGTAACATTTATGAGTTCTATGAGCTTTGCAATATGGTTATTTCTTCCACATTGGATGATACGTACATTTCTTTTGTTTTGCATAGCATCAGCTGTTCCCTCTTTCCCACTTGTTCCCTCCCATCACTGCCATTGAGTTGCTTAGTTCATTTTGGTCAATGTCCAGTGCAGCTGATGGGTCCTGCTGTTATATGCTTTTCCCTGATTCCCTCTAGTTCTGTGTTATCTTCCTGGTTCCCCTCTGGTGTATACATAGCATCCTGTCAAATTCCCTAATCTCATTTTTAAAACATGGATAACAAACCTAACAGGTGTTGTGACGGCTTCTGACCATTTAGGATGTTGAAAGAGCTTTCAGCCTTGTGTGAATTCTCTGATGTTTAGTGAGGACTGACCTCTGACTGAACGTCTTGCCACATGCATTACACTCATAAGGTTTCTCCCCTGTGTGAGTTCTCTGATGTTTAGTGAGAGCTGATTTTTCACAGAACATTTTTCCACATTCATTACATTTGTAAGGTTTCTCCCCTGTGTGAGTTCTTTGATGTACAATGAGGTTGGACTTCACACAAAAGGATTTCCCACACTCATTGCATATAAAGGGCTTCTCCCCTGTGTGTGTTCTCTGATGGACAGTCAGGGCTGACCTGTGGCAGAAGGACTTCCCACAGGCATTGCATCCATAGGGCTTCTCCCCTGTGTGTGTCCTCTGATGCTCAGTGAGGTTTGACTTCACACAGAATGTTTTTCCACACTGCTTACATTCGTAGGGTTTCTCTCCTGTATGTGTTCGCTGGTGGTTGGTGAGGTGTGGTTTCTGGCAGAAGGCTTTCCCACATTCAGTACATTCGTAGGGTTTCTCACCTGTGTGTGTTCTCTGATGCTGAGTGAGGTTTGACTTCTCCCAGAATGTTTTACCACACTCACCACACTCGAAGGTTTTTTCTCCCAAATGAGCTCTCCGAGATTGAGGGAGATGTGGCTTCTTGCTGAAATGATTCCTACTTTCAGGGCATGGATAGGGTTTTCCACCCATGTGTACTATCTGATGTTTAAAGAGGGCTGACTTTTCCCAAGCTTTGTCATTCAATTTATACTCGTGGGGAGTTTTTCTTGTGTAAGCTCCCTGGTGGATGATGAAAGTTGAACTGTCACAGATGATTTCCCCAAATTCATTATATTCATAATTACTGTCCTCTGAAGGAGCTCTCTGATGTCCAACTTGTAAATCCACATAAAAGAGCTTCCCACAAATACTGCATTCGTATGGCTCCATCTCCCAATGAGTTCTTTGGGATACATTGAGCTTTAAGCTGTCGATGAAGGTTCTTCCACATTCAGTGTATTTACAGAGTGTCTCCCCTATCTGACATCTCTGACTTGTAAAAGAGGAGGCTTCCTCATGGAAGCCTTGGCCATTTTTATTATAAATAAAAGGCTGGTCAAAAATTGGTTGAATGAGGTCCTGATGATGTCTGAGAATATTCCTTTTTTGGTTGTATTTACAAGGTTTTTCTCCAACAGGGATTTTTTCAGATCTAATATCAAGGACTAATTTTTCACATACATTAAACTCATCAGACTTCTTTTTGGAATAGTTCTTTTTACTAATAATTAAATCTGAAATATTTTTCAAACTCATTTCACAAGTATCACATATTTTAAAGGGACAATTTCTTGAAGACATTTGGTCTGTGTCCAGATTCAAAGTTTTCCTAAGTTTATCACCACCTTCTACACTTACTGGTTTGTTGTTGGTGACTATGAGCTGCCAAAAGTGTTCATCTTGATTTTCCTGGCTGCTCTCTAATAGGTCATCATCTTTCCATTTCTTTTCTAGAAATGAGAAAAATAATCACACATTTCTGGTGAATTTGGACACAAAGGCTCTAATCCAGTCAATTCTTTTGCTTTAGACCCAGTTTCCTGGTATGATTGAGTTCAGGGAAACTTTTCTAGCTCTCATGAGAAAAAAAGGGCAATGACTAACACTTTATAAACTTCAAAATGATATAAAAATGTCAAATAAAATCTACACCCCAGGGAATCCAAGTGGCTCATTCAAAAAAATCAAGAAACGCAAACACTATTTTAAGATGAGCCCAGCAGAGCCAATAAACATGGAAAAAACTGGGGAGCCCAATGTTTCAGAAAATGAACAAGCTTAGGTGGTAACAGATATGTCCTTACTGCTCTCACCAAGATCACTGGAGTAGATTCTCACCAGAGTCCATGCTATTTTCATTTTTTTTTATCGGTCATGGGGCTTGAACTCTGGGCCTGGGCACTGTCCCTCAGCTCTTCAGCTCAAGGCGAGCGCTCTGCCGTTTGAGCCACAGCACCACATCCAGTTTTCTAGTGGCTTATTGGAGATAAGAGCCTCACGGACTTTCCTGTCCAGGCTGGCTTTGAACCGTGATCCTCAGATCTCAGCCTCCTGAGTAGCTAGGATTATAGGCGTGAGCCACCGGTGCCCAGCCATGCTTCTTTTCTATAATATATATTAACACCAAAGTTTTATAAGTATCAACTTCCTCAGGTTCAAAAGAATAGTCTGAAAGCCCAGGATGAAGAGCTTTTTCTTTAATTTTATTGACAAGGGTGGAGTTTCCAAAAGTTGGTAGAAAAACATGCTAGATGAAGTGCAATAAATGGAAGATAGGATAAGCAGGGGATGGAGATAATCTGAAAGTTACACAAAAGACAGGAAATTCACAGTAAATGGGACAGTTGTCTTTTTTTGGGGGGGGGTGTCCAGTTGTGGGGCCTGAACTCTGGGCCTGGCACTGTCCCTCAGCTCTTCAGCTCAAGGCTAGCACTCTACCACTTGAGCCACAGCGCCACTTCCGGCTTTTTTCTTTTTGCTTATGTGGTGTTGAGGAATCAAACCCAGGGCCTCGTGCATGCAAGGCAAGCGCTCTACCACTGAGCCACCTACCCAGCCCCACAGTTGTTTTTTTAATAAAGAGTAGTTGTGAAATATAATGGAGGGAGAATTAAGCTTGGCTGAGGCAGAGCACAGTTTATACCTCATCTTCCCATGACCTACTTACTACAGTATGTCACACACACATCTGTCACTACACACAGGTGTTCAAATCTGCATTTATTTGAGGTTTCTCGTTTATGACTCTTGCTTTAATGTTTGGCCTAATCTGTGAGGTCTACAGGAATACTTCTGTATATGGTATCTAGATCTTCAGTATACTTACTCATAAAGTTGTTACTTCACTGTTGCTGTCCATATGACATGTTAATCACATGTTCAAAAATAATCTATGACCAGGGTGCAGGTGGCTCATGCCTGTATGTTTATCTACTCAGGAGGCTGAAATATGGTGGATCACAGTTCAATGCTAGCCCCAGGCAGAAAAGTCTATGAGGTTAATTTCCAAAATAACTAGAAAAAATCTGGGTTGGAGGCCATGTTCAAGTTAGGTAGAGCACAAACAGAGCAAGCAAGCCAAGCATTGTGGGTTCAAAACCCAGTACTGGCAAGAAGAAAAATATATAGATATAAATACATAAATACAATATATACACACATATAGATTTACATATTTATGTGTATATGTGTGTATGTATGTGTATGACAATAGATAAAAGTTATTACCCTGACCAAAAAATAATAAATAAAACCTTGCAAAACTGATTCACATTATGTGTTCAAACTAAAAATTTGCAAGTCTGTTAAAAGTACCTTTGTGTGGTTCCAGCTAGATATCAGACTCATACACTGGTCATTCCCAATAATGTATCCTTTAGTTAAAAAGTATATTAACTAGAGGCATTCCAGCCTTTCTTCTCCTTGAAACCTATACATCCTTCAGTGAAGTGCTACTTTAATTTTTTTAATTGATAATATAAGCATTAGTGATTGTAAGAACATGAAAGCCAAAAAGTCACTAAACATCCACCCATTGTAAGATCCTATGTATGCTGTCTTTCAGAAGATACTACTTTTTATGTAATTCACTATAACATACAACAAATCCCTCTGTTGCGATCTACCTCTTAGCATGTATTACTAGACCTGTTTCCTCTACCTCTTCTGAGATGGTAAAATAACAGTTCCAAAAAAGTGAGGTCCATGTGAATCATTTCCACCTCTACCAAATGAGGTGAAATACTGAGGATGAAAGACAAGATACTAGAGAATGTTTCTCTTTTCTTTCCTTCCTTCCTTCCTTCCTTTCTTCTTCTTCCCTTTCTCTCTCTCCTGACTTTCTCTTCTCTTTCCTTCCTTCTTTCCTTTCCTGCCTCCCTCCATTCTTTCCTGCCAGTACTTCCTTCAGATGTAGGACTGGGGCTTGAACTCAGAGCCTTGTTCTCTCATTGGGCTATTTTGTCCTCACAACCTCACCTCTGGATTTTTTGCTGGTTAATCAGAGATAAGAATCTCACAGACTTTTCTGCCAAGGCTGGCTTTGAACCACAATTCTCATATCTCAGCCTCTTGAGTAGCTAGTATTACAGGCATGAGCTACAGGTACCCATCTAGATATTATTCTGTTAATTGCCTAGAACATAACTGAGCCACAATGACTATTCACCATCATATTTTTGTTAAGTGGAATGTATGCAAGAAGTGCAAGAATATATGCCAACTGTCTAAAAGAAAATAGATGGTGAATAACTTTAAAAGATAAAGAGAAACTAAGAAAAAGAAATCAAAAACCTAAAGCCAGTTGACTGGATGATATGTACAAATAAATCACTCTACAATGTCAAAGACAAAAGCATTTATGAGTAAGAATCCCATACAAGGAAATTATATAAGACAGCAAGATGTGGGCCAACCATCCTTTGTCAATTCTAAAGATCTGGGGTGAAAAAGAGAATTTCTGAAAAATATTCCACAGGTAACAAACCCTAAACCAAGGACTGAAGATTAATTTCCTCTGGTTTTCACCTGCCTGTGGATTCAATGACTCACCTGAGTGATTCTGGCCTGAGGACCCCTTCTCCAGTATCCAGGGTTCCTCCCCTTGTTCTATCTTATAGATCACCTCTGGCTTAGTAACACAGTGCCCTGTAAAACAGAATACCGTAAGGTGGAGGACAAACAGCTTAGATTTGTGCACTCTGAAAAAAAAAAAATGAAGGCAAAGGAGCTGTTCAAAGAAGGTACCCAAACATTTATAATCCTCAAAGACTGGAAAGAACACTTTATCACAGGCAAAGAGATCAGTCTGACTTGAATCAGAAAGCAACAGGGTCTTCACTTTCAGCAACTAAGAAATGCATAGGATTGGAAGTCACATTAAAAAAAAAAAACTCACCTACTGAGACAAGGTTGCTGTAATTTTCCAGAATTACATCTCTGTACATTATCTTCTGAGCAGGGTCCAGGAGATACCATTCTTCTTTGGTAAAGTCCACACACACATCCTTGAATGACACATGTCCCTGTAACAGTTGTGATGTAGAAAAGAATTAGCAGGACAATGTTTTTTTGTTTTTTGTTTAGTTTACAAGAAAATGGCAGAAGAACCCCTCCTTTTATGCTTATTATGTAGAATAACACTGAATATCTTATACAAACTGAGTTTCCACCCAAGTTCCTAAGACTACAAGTAAAAAAAAGAAAACAAAACAGGTCCTTTTCTCAACATTTGATGAGGGCACAAACTTATGAGCACAAACTTATGAACACTTATTAAACCAACACTGCAAGAACCAGCAGTATATACAGAAAAGTGAGTTATACAAGACCTCTGGAGGACAGGTCAGTGGTTTTGGTTTGTTTTGGTTTTCAAACTTTAAAGTGGGAGAAAACTCACCTGGGATTTTTTCATCTTCTGCTCTTGGTGGAGGAGAGAGAGCTGATGGAGAAGAAAGGAAGAAGGATGTCAGGAGAGACTTGGCCTGCTTGGCAGTTCCTGGATTCATCTGCCTATAGAGGTCCATATAATACTTACATGTCCATGTGTGGCTCTGATATATGTTGAGTTTAGACATGATATTTTTTCACTGAGTGAATGTAAACATTTGTTTCTTATTGATTTATTACCAATTTAGGTTCTGTGATACAGAAAAATTGAAAACATAAATGAGTTTAACAAATAACAGTAATCTAAAAGTGGAAATAGTATAGATTTGTCATAATTGAAGATAAAAAAAACACCTCAGGCCATCCTGTTTATCAATATTTACCTGCTAACATCACTAATCCCTAGGGTCAGGTAATCCAAGTTTATGGAATGGCTCAAATGGTAGAGAGATAGCCTATTAGAATGTTCTGCTACTATGTTAAGTTTCTCTAAGGCATGTTTTAATAAGAAACTAACTTTGAAGCTGGGTGCTGGAAGCTCACACCTGAAATTCTAGCTACCCTGGAGGCCAAGATCTTAAGGTAGCAGTTTGAAGCCAGGTTGGGCAGAAAAGCCCTTGAGACATCTCCAATTAAGTATGAAAAGAAAGGGGGAGGGAGGGGAGACAGCGAAGACAACAACAACACACAGACTAACTGTGATCCAAGTGGCAAAACAAATGCCAATGTCCCAGGAATTTGTAAACCAGAGTTCTAACCTTCTGGTATCAACAAAATCATGCCTTTGAAATAAGTCACTTTCTGAAACTTGATTTTTTTTTCCCACCCTGTTTGGCTGCACTGGAGTTAGAACTCAGGGCTGCACCCTAGCTAGGCAGGTACTTTAGTACTTGAGCTACACCTCCACCTCCAACACTTTGTGCTATGGTTTTGAGATAGGTTCCTGTTTCATTTTGTGTACTGGTCCTGGGGCTTGAACTCGTGGCCTGGGTGCTGTCTATAGGCTTTGTACTCGAGGCTAGAGGGCTAGCACTTGAACAACAGCTCCACTTCCAGCTTTTTTTTTTCCTTAATTGGAAATAAAGAGTCTCATGGACTTTCTTGCTTAGGCTATCTTCAAACTATGATCCTCAATTCGATGCCTCCTAAGTAACTAGAATTACATGTGAGCCATAGGCAGCCAGCCAGGTCTGTGTGTGTGTTTTTAATTGGACTTGACTGGATCTCTATCCTCTTATTTTCCTCTTCACCTCAGCTAGGATGACAAGTGCATGTCACCTAGCTTTTGCAGTTGGGACATATATGTTTAAATCTCTCAGTAGTCAAAACAGCTGCACTACAAAGGACCCGCCTGCAGGTCCTACCATCCCGTGGGCCTATAAAGCCAGGAAAGCAAGAACCTCAACATCTGCTTGATGCCACCACTGGATGGGACAGCTGCTGCTCCAGGATATGAAGAAACGGGTTTTTAGGAAGGGGCAATAACAGCATTTCCTTAGCTTAGCTGGTAAGCCTTTCAAGCCAGACACTGGTCCACCGAGGCTCCGCAGTGCGGCTGTGGTGCACCCACCCCTCAGCTCCAGCTCACCTGTCTCTTCTTAACCTAGTAGTCCCAGAGCCTTCAATGGCTTCAAGATAGATACTGTGTCATGATTATACACAATAAACAACAAAAGAGCAAGACATCAAAGAGGTCTGACGGATGGAGCATGTCGGGCCAGGAAAGGGCCCTGGTGACTGCCAGGGCACGCCCCGCGTCCATCCAAGCCCAGGGAGCGACTCCAAGTCCCTTTCCTGGGACCCTCTCAGGTTATGACACACAGCAGAAAGAGATGTAATAGCCAGCTAAATTAAAGGGGGGCAAAGAAAACCACCTAAGGCATTCAGGATTTTTGACATCCGCATTTCAAACAAAAAAAAGACCCAATCTCGCGAGCGTTAATCTCAGTAATTCATTCACACCCGACCTGGCTCAGCCGCTCTCTTCCGGGCAGTCCTGCCCCCTTTCCCTTTCCAGCGCGACGCGCACGCCAATACGTCACGCGCTAACCGCGCATGCGTTGGGCCCGTCACAAACCGGCGCGTGCCCTTTCCGCAGCTCCGCCCCACCCCCCGCTCGGAGGCCAGCGCACGCAACGCGCGTGCGCACTTCCCTCCCACGGCCATACCTCCGCGCCGCCGGCTGGCCGCGGGGCCCTAGGCGCGCCTGCACCCCGTTAGTCTAGCCCTTCGTCCCCCGAGGCGACCCAAGCGCCCTCCCGGGGCAGTGATGCCCGAGCCGTACTGCAACTGCGTACACGGGTTTTGTTTTTTCTCCGAGGGGCTCAGACCCATCGGGGTACCGGTTGCCTCCTGCCCGCCCCCTCCCGACCCCCACGAACCCCCCTCATTCTCCCGAGGCTCACCTGCCGCTCCCTCACGGTGTGGACCCCGACGCCGGGGACCGTTTCCCACGAGGGACCGGAGACCAGGCAAGGACGAGTCGGAGGATGGCTGTCTGCGCATGCGCAGAGGGAGGGGCGCCCCTGAGGCCCGGCGTTGGGATGGAGTTTGTCGGCCACGTTGAGGGGTCCTAGCCCCCAAGTGGGACATCTTGCCCTCAGGTTGTTCAGTCCTCCAGCCCGTGGCTGCTGGAGTGTCCTGGAGGTGTGGATCAAAACAGTTAAGGTGTGCTTAAATTTCATTGATGAAGGTAGAACATTCTTTTATCTAAAATATTAGAAAGTTGGGCTGGGGATGTGGCTTAGTGGTGGAGTGCTTGCCTAGCATACATGAAGCCCTGGGTTCAATTCCTCAGCATCACATAAACAGAAATGGCTGGAAGTGGCGCTGTGGCTCAAGTGGTAGAGTGCTAGCCTTGAGCAAAAGAAGCTCAGGAATAGTGCAGATGCCCTTTAGTTCAAGCACCAGGACTCCTAAGGGGGGGTGGGGGAATCTAGCCGAGAGCTAGTGACTGAAGCCTGTAATCCTAGCTACTCAGGAATCTGGCATCTGAGGATCACAGTTTGAAGCTAACCCCTGGCAGGAAACTCCCTGTGAGGCTCATCTCCAATGAACCACTCAAAAACCAAAAGCGGCATTGTGGCTCAAGTAGTAGAGCACAGAGAGCCTCAGGACAGCACCCAGGCCCTGAATTCAAGCCCCTGAGCCCCCCCCCCCAAATTAGAAAGTGCCTGGGCAATAATAGGACAGTGACCTGTAATCCCAGCTACCCAGGAGGCTGAAATCTAGGATCGTGGTTCAAAGCCGGCCTGAGAAGAAAAGTCCATAAGATTTATTTCCAGTTAACCAGCAAAGAGCTAGATGTGGAGCTGTGGCTCAAGTAGTGGAGCACCAGCTTTGAGCAGACAAAGCTAAAGGACCGAGCCCAGGCCCAGAGTTCAAGCCCCAGGAAAGGAAAAAAAAATACCTGACACCATAAGGTAGCATTTTTTACAGCATCAGCCCTATGATCAGCCATTTGTCTAAGAAACCCTGATATGGATACCCCTGTAGGGGTCTTGGATTGTTTCTTTCTGATAAAGGATGATGAGGATAGAGGGAAAGGTCAGTTGAATGTGAGGGTAGGGCACCAAGTAAATTGAGGCACGCCTCATAGCTACTGGCAGGCTGTTATAAACCCCCAACCGGGACTCTCGGTTGAGAGGGTTGTTTTATGCTATATGAGGTCTTGTCCACTCTCTTCCCTGCGGGGGTGGGGGATGGGGTGGGGGTGTCAAACTTCCTGTGCAACAGGAAAAGGAGGCCTGGAAATCAGCCGGATGTAGATGGGTTTCCTACCTTTTGGGCCAGTCTCAGCTGTTCTGGCATCTGGCACTGTCTCCTTAACCCCAAGGGAAGAGACACTTGTCCCCTGTGTGGGCCTGCTCCAGAGTCAGGGGTCTTTGCTTTCATCTATTTCCAAGTCTTCAGGAAAAGGAAAGAGTGTTGTCTCTCATCTACCTAATTTTTCCTCTTTCACTTCAGTTTTTATTAGAGAAAGCTCTGAGCTCAATAGTTATGGAATGTAAGCATTTCTAGGCCCTCTCCATAGACAGAGCTAAGAAAATAAAGTGACTTTAAACCAGTATCACTATATCTACATTTCTGTACCTCTATCTGTAAATATTAAAATTAATATGTATATCTTACTCTAAACCAGGATTCATTCAAGCTTCTCTCTTCTTGTCTATTTATTTTTTTGTTCTGATTCTGGGGCTTGAACTCAGGGCCTAGGCTTAGGTTTTTCACTCAATGCTGGTGCTCTATACCTTGAACCACACCTCTATCTCTGGCCTTTTGCTGGTTAATTGGAGATTAGTCTCACAGGTTTTCTGGCTTTGGACCTTGATCCTCAGATCTCCTCTGTAGCTAGGATTATAGGTATGAGCACTGGCACCCAGCTCCAGTCTTCACTTTTTATTAAAAAACTTGAGGAATAAAAAAAAATATACTGAGCGCCTGTAATCCTAGCTACTCAGGAGGCTGAGATCTGAGGATCATGGTTCAAAGCCAGCCTGGGCAGGAAAGTCCCCAAAATTCTTATTTCCAATAAACCACCAGAAAAAACACGTGGTGTTGTGGCTCAAGTGGTAGAGCACTAGCCTTGAGCTGAAGAGTTCGGGGACAGAGCCCAGGTCCAGAGTTCAAGTCCCAAGACCGACCAAAAAAAAAAAAATTACCATACAGGGTATAGAAGTTACAGCATGTAAATTCCAAGTATACTTTTTTTTCAAAATTAGAGCTTGAAATCAGGGCTCATAGCTGGTGCTCTACTTGAGCCACAGCTCCACTTCCAGCTTTTAAAGGTTAACTGGAGATAAGAGTCTCTCCTATTTGATTGCCCAGCTGGCTTCAAATCATGATCTTCATAGCTCAGCCTCCTGAGTAGCTAGGATTATAGGTGTGAGCCACCAATGCCCAGCAAGGTATTATATTTCTTTGTTATTAGATTGGGTTAGTTGAATATGGGACAGAGAGGCATGTTGTGATAAAAATAAAAAAATATAAAACAATACTTGTCCTGTTAATTTGGAAGGAAATATAAAAGAATTGACAATTCAGTTTAGACAATGTTTATTTCACGTTTGCTACATATCATTGGGACATTTGCTATGATTACAATTTAGCCAGCTTAAAATAAACATATTTCTTTGAAAAAATACTCCTAAGCTTAGGCTTTTGACCTACAAATATGCAAAAAATAAATACACTACACAGAAATCATCTTCTCAAATTTGTACTGTAGGCATAATTTCTGAAGCAAAGAACATTAACAAAAGGAATACCTCTGCATTGGCTACAATGTTTTCATCTCCAAGGAACAGAAAACTTGTTTGATAAAGTGCTAGGTAGTAACTAGTGCTGTAGGCCATCAAGTCTGTCACAGCTCCAGACTCCGTGGCTACAGAAGGAGGCAGCCACAGGCAAAATATAAACGAATGGTTTGTATTCGTATTCTCAGAATGCTTTATTTATGGATGCCAAAAATTTAATAGATCATTTCCATGTGTCCCCAAAAATTCTTTGTTTCATCTACTTAATAATACAAATCTAGTCTCAGCGTGAAAGCTACATGAATGGGCAGTGGATCAGATGGGAGTAATGGGCTAATAGAGAATCCATTCTCGAGTTCCCAGGAGGGAAACCACCAAATCAAGTGGACGCATGAGCAGCCCTAAGTTAGGAGATGAATTTGCATTGCTATTCTTTTGTTTTAATTCACTGCATAAATCAGGACAATTAAGCAGCATGACAATAATGGGTAGGTGGTCTGTGTCTCAGAAACTGTTCTAAGTGCTTCACAAATATTCACTAATTTCCAACCTCCAAGCAATCCCAAGATGTGACTACTACTATTCCTACAAGAAAGGAGCCAAAGCACAGGGCAGCTGAGGCCCAGGCTGGGGTTTGGTCTCCAGAGCTCACCTCTTAGCCATCTGCTTCTACAAGGCAAAGAACAGCAATACCAAACATTTAAGACTCTCGTACAAAATACACAGATAAGCTCTACACCTTGCTAAAACAAGTAAATGATACTTCTTACATAGTACTGTAACTTGTTATTTTGTAGAGAACAAAAAAATCCGTTTCCAACTATTTTTAAAGCATCTCAGATTTTTGCTATAAGTAAATATGTTCCTTATCCAAACTCTGCTGAGCACAAAACAGTTGAAAGTTTTCTGAAAGCATTTTAGCTCCTTTTTTTGTTTTTTTTTTAGGAGGGGGGAAAGCATAATTTTAAAAGAGTACACCAATATATATTATATAAACAAAATAACTGCTGAGGCACTGTGACACATCTTGTTATGCATACATTATTGAACTAAGGTTAAATACTTTCCTATGTACATTGATAGATGGGTTCCCTATGTATGGCACACATTTTTAAGTTATATTTTGTAGCACATTCACACACATACCAGAAAATTCTTCATGTGTGTTAATGTGTTTAATAATGTTGCCTCATTACTCTATTTTTGCTTTTAAAAAGCTTCCTTTCCTTCCTTTTTGTGTTCTGTCTCTGTCTCTGTTTCTCTCTGTTCCTTGGCATAGGGTCTCGTTATATAGCCTATGTTGGGCTTAAACTCATGATTCTCCTATCTCAGCCTCTCCCAGTACTGATGTGATAGGCATGCTCTAGCTTTGCTCCCTTCCCTTCCCTCTCCTCTCCCCTTCCCTTCCCTTCCCTTCCATTTCCCTCCATCCCCCTCTTCCTTCCTTTTCCCTCCGTCCCTCCCTCCGTCCCTCCCTCCCTTCCTCCCTTCCTCCCTTCCTTCCTTCCTTCCTTCCTTCCTCCCTCCCTCGGTTGCTTGCTTGCTTGCTTGCTTCCTTATTAGATTGAACCCAGGGCCTCATTCTTACAAGGCACCCATGGAACCACTAGCCCTTAGGTTGCTATTTTTGAAACAGTCTTGCTAACTCTGCCTAGGACAGCTTGAACCTGGAATCCTGCATCCTGGAGGAATGCCCCACTATGCTACACTGTATATTTCTTTTAAAAGAAAACAAACCCACCTTGGAAATCTGCAACATGACATACTATAAGTGCTTCTCTCCACACAGTCTTCGAATTTTTGTTTACAATCTTTCAAATATGTACGATAAAAGGTATAAGTATGAATGACAGGGCATTTCGTGAAACATCATCTTGATGAAAACATCTATTATCTGTCACAATCTCTGCAGTTTTCTGTTGTAAGTGCCACTTTTGTGCCACGCTTTTGAATACTTAGAGCTATTCACAGGACTTTCTCACGTATGTGCACTTTTAGATGTCTGGCATTAGATACTTCCACATAAAACTTCTTGGCCATCATTTTACTAACAGGAATTCTCTCCCGTGTGCTCTCTCTGTTGTCTGATACTTTGTAAAGTCTATCCTGTGATTACAAGGTCTTCCTAATAAACTTACTGCACTGGCTGATATTCTGTAAGGAAAAGTTACAACTCAGAACTTTCTCTTATTGACAATTCTCATTACATGAATTATCTGATCCTTCCGCTGGGCAAATTCCAACAGAAACAGTCACACTATTTGTCAGCGTTTCCCTTCTGTGCATGTGTCTTCCGATGTGCATTGAGCTGGGACTTCTGGATGAAGGTGTCCCCACACTCTTGACACTCGTATGGCTTCTCCCCAGTGTGCTTCCTTTGATGTATAATGAAGTGTGACCTCTGGGAAAAGCATTTCCCACACTCTTCGCATTCATAGGGCTTCTCTCCCGTGTGAGTCCTTTGATGTAATCTGAGGACTGAGTTCACAGAGAAGGATTTCCCACAGTCTGCACATTCATAGGGCTTCTCCCCTGTGTGTTTTCTTTCATGTTTAGTGAGATCTGACTTATAATAGAAGTGTTTCCCACACTTACTACATTCAAAGGGCTTCTCACCTGTGTGAGTTCGCTGGTGCACTGTGAGGGCTGACTTCTGGTAGAAGCATTTTTTGCATTCCTTACACTCATACGGCTTCTCTCCAGTGTGAGTTCTCTGATGGGTTTTGAGGTGGGAATTCCTGGAGAATAATTTCCCACATTCCTTACATTTGTAGGGCTTCTCCCCTGTGTGTGATCTCTGATGTACTGTGAGGTGTGACTTCTGGGAAAAGAAGTTGCCACACTCCTTGCACTGAAAGGGTTTCTCCCCAGTATGTGTTTTCTGATGAACCAGGAGGTATGCTTTCATGTAGAAAAACTTCCCACATTCAGTACACTTGAAGGGCTTCTCTCCTGTGTGAGTTTTCTGATGTTCCATGAGATGTGGCTTCTGGTAGAAAGATTTCTCACACTGCTTACATTCATAGGGTTTATCTCCGGCATGGGTTCTCAGGTGTCGACTGAGTGATGACAGGTGGTAGAAAATGCTTTTACATTCTTTGCATTCGTAGGTTTTGTCTCTGGTGTGAACTTTCTGGTGTTTTGTGAGGTCTTCATTTTTCGAGAAAGACTTTCCACATTTCTCACATTCATAGGATATGTCCTTGGAGTGTGTCTGCTGGTGCACTGTAAGGGCAGACTTCGTGCAGAAAGACTTCCCACATTCGTTGCAGTCATAGCTTTCCTGTTGCTTCTGTGTTTTCTGAGGTCTTGCAGGCTCTCTATTCCTAGAGAGAAAGCCCCAAATTCATTAATGTATAGGACTTTTACAGCTTTAATAGTAACTAATGTCCTCCCTTTACAGTACCCCCCATCAAGGCTTTTTTGAAAAGTTTCTATGTTAAATATGGAACCTTGAACTTGCCTTGAATTTCCAGTTTGGCTTTTCTGGGATCTTCCTCTGGGATTCTGAACATTCTTTACTTTTTCTACAAAGGAGCCAAGATTTTAACACATTATTATGGTTATAGAGTTAAACCTTAGATTTCAGGCCAATTTATCCAAATGAAACAACTCTCATTGGGAAAAATATAATAAAGACTAAAAATCTTACATATTAGACAGAGAAAAGAACATAACCATAAAGCCAAGTACCACTGACACCTCTATAAATACCTTAAATAGTTGGAGGTAAAAGCCAGGCAAACTGGCACATAACTGTAAAATCAGCATGCAGGAGGCTGATGTAGGAGATTGTGAATTTGAGGCCAGCCTGGACTATACAACAAGATCCTGTCTCAAAAAGCAAGCAGAAATAAAACCCAGACAAAACCAAAAACACAAAACCATATTAGAGACGAAAGTTAAGACAAAAATTAGAGGAAACAAAAGATACTCAGAAGTGTTTAATAGGAATATGAGAATAAGAGAATGCTGTGAGTCCATTGAGAATAGTAAATTAGATGAGAAAAAACAGTGGACAACTATTTATTTGATATATGCAAAGGGATTAAACTGGTTGGAGCTGTAAAGTCTTCATCCCTTCAACTTAGATTGCTGTGTTTGGATTTCTATACAGTATTCCTCCTCCCTTCCCTGGAGGGGATATTTTCCAATACTTGCAGTTGATAGCACAGATAGTACTGTATTCTATATAAACATTTGTTCTTTTTTTTGGTGGGGGGAGTCCGGTCGTAGGCCTGAACTCTGAGCCTGGGCACTGCCTCAGCTGTTCAGCTCAAGGCTAGCACTCTACCACTTGAGCCACAGTGCCACTTCTGCCTTTTTTTCTGCTTATGTGGTACTGAGGAATCGAACCCAGGGCCTCATGCATGCAAAGCAAGCACTCTACCACTAAGCCACCTTCCCAGCCCCATTTGTTGTTCTTATACATACATACCTATGAGAAACTTTCACCTGTTTATGTAAAGGAAGTATTTTTAAGCTTCTCTCTGGCATGTCTTAATTGCTAGCATCACCACTTTTGTGCACTGTGTGCACAAAATAGCTATGATTCTTCAGTAGTAGGTCTGATGACCAGCAAGACTGCCTAGTAAGTGATGAGTGTAGCTTATACAGTGTAATACACAACATAAACAGATGATTCACATCCCAGTGGAAAGAGTGGGCCAACAGGAGAGTCTATCATCCTCAGAATTGCATGTAATTTAAAGTGGTTAAGTTGCTGATTTCTGAAAATTTCCAGTTAATATTTTTGACAATGGGTAAATGAAAACACACAAGGCAAACAAGGGGGACTGATATTATAGAAAGCAGACTATAAACCTGTGCTTTATATCCTCCTTATTTATTTAATTAATTTATGTTTGGTGCCAGTCCTGGGACATTGTCCCTTAGCTTTTCTGCTCAAGATTAGTGTTCTACCACTTGAGCCACAACTACACTTCTGGGGGTTTTGGTGCCTAATTGGAGATAAGAGTCACCCAGACCTTCCTGGTTGGGCTGGCTTCAACTCTCAATCCTCAGCTCAGCCTCCTGAGTAGCTAGGATTACAGATGTAAGTCACCTTTCTCTTTTAACAACAATCTTTTATTTTGACATTAAGAAGGAATGAAATACAAAGGTAAAATATGAGACCAGAATACATAATAGGATAAAGATGCTGGACAGGTCAGTGTGAGGTGTTTTCACCATTAAAATCAGGATTTGTTCATGTGTATATGTGTGTGTTTGTGTACATATACAGAAGCTTGAATTTAAGATTTATGTTCTTGCTCAAGGCTGGCACTCTACCACTGTAGCCACAGCTCCTTTTCCATCTTTGTGCTAGTTAATTGGAGGTAAGAGTCTCATGGACGTTCCTGCCTTGAACCGTGATCCTTAGATATCAGCCTCCAGAGTAGCTAGGATTACAGGAGAGAGCCACTAGCACCCAGCTCTCCACTTCCAATATTTTGCTTTCCAATTTATTTTGGAGAAAAGAGTCACATAGACTTTACTGCCCAGCAGGCTTAAAACCAGGAGCCTTAGATCTCAGTCTCCTGAGTAGCTAGGATTATAGGAGTAACAGTGTCTGTTCATAATTTCTTCAGTAGAGTAAATCTAGAGAGATTCTTGAAAGCTATGTCAAAGGACAAGATGCATCCACTGCCTCATAATTAACATGAAATGGAATTTTCTGACTCACCAGGGTGCTTTCGACGTGGACATTCAACTTCTAAGCTCCATGGGTCTTTCCCTTGCTTCAATTTAAGAACTATAGCTGGCTTACTTACACGATAGCCTATTAATAGAAAACATAAAGGAAATAATACAAATTGCTTGAAGAGTAAGTATAGTTTTGGCAAGTTGAAGATCATACTTAGATTTGGCATATTTAGAATCAATCTTCCAACCTTTTCTCCCTTTCCCTCTCTTTTCTCTTTCTCTTCCTTCTTTCTTCCTTCCATTGCTTATACCAGAGGGCCTTATTGTGCATTTTCACAGATGTGTACATTGTTCTTTGCACAAATTTACCCCTTCTATTATACACCCTTAATTCCCATCCTTCCCCCGTTTATAAGTGCAGTTTTGTGTGTTTCTTTATGCTATCTTTTTTCATGTGTGCCCGTACTAGGCTTGAACTCAGGCATTGTCCTTTAGATTTTTTCACTCAAGGCTAGTGCTCTAAAATTTGAGTCACACCTCCACCCCAAACTTTTTGCTGGTTAATTGGATATAGGAGTCTCATGGAGTTTTCTGCCTGGGCTGGCTTTGAATAGCAACCTCAGATCTCAGTCTCCTGAGTGGCTGGGATTATAGATACAAGCCACAGTGCCTGTCTTGTTATGCTATCTTAAGAAATATATATATATATATATATATATATATATAATGTATTTTATTCAGTTCCTACTACTTTTTTCCCTCTTAATGATCTCCCTGAGACAGCCTTTCTTTACCATCAGGGCCCTGCTTTTTATCATCACCACTACCACCACCACCACGACTACCACCATCACTACCACCACCATTATCACCACCACCACCACCATCATCATAGATTCTTTCAATAAAATGGGACACAGATATTTTTCTGGTGCCCAGACTGAATTCATTGATTTTGACTTCCTGCTGAAGTCAAGTTGGTATCATTCAATCATAGAGGAACCTCACATACCCCAGCAATTAGGAAAAGTAATCCAAACTATGTGGAGTTATACATGATGTGTTTCTTACCCACGGAGACCAGGAGATTATAGTTGTCCAGTGTAACATCCTTGTAAAGGGTCTTCTGAGCAGGAGTCAGTAATTTCCACTCCTCCTTGCTGAACTCCACAGTAATATCCTTTAATGTCACAGGCCCCTAGAACAACAATTTCCGTTCAGTCTGAACTAATCAGAAAAGAGTACCACTGAAAGCTACACAGTGGTGGCTCATGTCTGTAATCCTAGCTACTCAGGAGGCTAAGATCTGAGAATCACAGTTCAAAGCCAGCCTAGGCAGGAAAGTATGTGACACTCACCTCCAATTTACCACCAAAAAGCCAGAAGTAGAGCTGTGGCTCAAGTGGTAGAATGCTAGCCTTGAGAAAAAAAGGTCAGGGGCAGCACTCAGGCCCTGAGTTCTAGTCCCAGGATTGATACACATACACACACACACACACACACACACACACACACACACACACACACCTCCGCACACGGTACCCACACATACATATACACACACATGAGTACCTTTGGAGAGACACATTAAACTAACTCTTAATGCATTGACATTTATCCTGGATAGTCAGTATAAGCTTTGAACTCTGAACCCTACTTTATGCACTGCCATCAGTTCAATTCATATTTGCTGTACTGACACTCTGTGCATGCAACTCTGTTGCAGGTGCAAAGATGGGTAAAAATAACCCTTCCTGTTATCAAAAATGTACTCTTTGACAGAGGCAAAGATGTACATGTCTTATGGCAATATGCACCAGGTGCCAGGACATGATACCAGAAAGCTGCAAATGCTAAAAGATTGTTTGTGCTTTGAAGTATCAGATTCTTTCTAACTTGCCAAACTGGCTAATGTAAATGTTAGGAATAATGGACAATTAACAGGCAATGGCATAGGTGCATGGTAACTGGCAAGTTTTAGGAAACCTCAAATAACATATATGACCCTTAGATATGTATTTTAATGTTTTTTTCTTTCATGCATGTGTTTCTAATGCATTTATAAGATTATCTCTTTGTTGCTTTGTATGTCCCTCCCCCACAGTATAACCCCTGCTTTCACTATATTTGATGTCAGTATAACTTGTGGAGGAGATGGGGAAAAACAAGTCGTTTAAGGATACAGGTGGACCTGTTGCAACAATGAGAAGTACAAGTTGTCATGTCCAAAACGAGCTTTACAACGTCAGTGCGGGGGTGGGGGGGGGGAAGGAGAAGGATTGGGATTGCGGGGGGGGGAGGGGGGAGGCTGGGAAGTGATGTGAAGGGTAAACAAAGGAGGAGGCTGCAATGCTTGGTAAGAAATATACGCATTATCCTGCCCATGCAATTGTAACCCCTCTGTACAGTATGTTCACAAATAAAATTAAATTAAATTAAAAAAAAACATATATGAGCTATGAGGACCAAAGTTTAATTGGGTTATAAAGTCAAGTGATAGAACATAAAGAAAGTAAAATAGTAAGACAGGAAAGCTTCAAATTATCCCTATTTCAAACAACATGATGCTACATTTATTCCATCTGAAAGCTCTTGCTTTGATATAAACTTTTCAACAAAGTAGCTAGATAAAATAATCTACATATTAAAAATAACGTTTCTGCAAACTACCAACAAACTTACTGGAAAAAGAATTCAGAAGTAACTCCTATTTGCCACAGCCTTAAAAATAAAAACATAGACACTCAGAATTGGGAGGATCATTGTTCCAGTTTAAATTTTTTAGTTATTTTGCTTTCAGTTTGCCAATCTGGGCAAAACATTTGCAATGCCCTCATCTCAATAAAATCTGGGCACAGTGACAGGTGTTGGTCATCCTAGTTATATGGGAAGTGAAACCTGGAGAATCATAGTCCAGTGTGGTCTGGGCATAAATGAAAGACATTATTTTTTTTAAAAAAGAGTATTCTTCTCAAATGGTTTCTGTCCATTTTTGTCTGTCTTGATGGTTTTATGATGGATATTCCTGGGGGGAGAACATTCTTTTTTTTCTATCTCCTCAGGCTGAGGCAAGTGCCTCAGCAATGCTTAGTTAAAAGCACTTACAGATACTATCTTTGGGCCTTCACAGCAGCCATGTAGTGGAAGAACATGAAGCAAGCAGGGTGCACTTTCCAACACCCAGGAAGGAGGCAGAGGAGGAAGGTAACAGGAGAATGAGGAGAGCTCTGATCCACTGGAGTCTGCAAACCAGAGAATTCAGACAGCAGTGTGCCTGCCAGGGTGCTCATATGCTCAAAAGACATCTTAGAAGACACTTGGCTTGCTCTTCTTTTTTTAGCTTTTATTTTAAAAATTATCTTCAGGTACTTGTACAAAGAGGGTCCAATTCAACATGTCAGTTTATGAGTACAATACATCTTGGCTATTGAGCACTGATCACTGGCTGCTCTTCTAACTGCTCTTAGAACTCTGCATGAGCCTGTGGGAAAAAGCTAAGGCAAAGATGTGGGCAACCCAAGTGTCAAAGGAATGTCAGTTCAGAGGTAATCTGTACATACAAAGATCAAGATTACAAGCTTGATCCATTAGTGCCAGCCTAAGATTCCTTTCCTTTTTTGGGGGGAGGGGACAAAGGGAGTCTGGAAATCCTTTGATTGTGTAAGTATTGCTTTTGACTTACATTTTATTTTCTATGAGGCTATGTAGCCCCTTTGCAGTCCTCTGCTCATATATTCATGCATAAAGTTGAACACTCAGAGGATCTCTTCCAGCCAGGAACACCTGTTCCACCAGGCATCTCAGGAACAGCCCTGGCAGCTGTGATAGACACAGCACCAGGACATTGGGCATCCTCAGGTTAACATAAACTGTATGTGAGTAGAAAAGCTCCTCTCCCCACCTCTCTCTTTCATGCCAGTCCTGGGTCTTGAACTCAAGTCCTAGGAGTTGTCCCTGAACTTCTTTTGCTTAAGGCTAGCACTTTACCACGTATGCCACAGTCCCATTTCCAGCTTTTTGGAAAGGAGGGGTGTGATTAGAGATAAGAATCTCATAGACTTGGGGCTGGCAAGGTGGCTCAGTGGTAGAGCACTTGCCTTGCATGCATGAAGCCCTGGGTTCGATTCCTCAGCACCACATAAGCAGAAAAAAATGGAAGTGGCACTGTGGCTCAAGTGGTAGAGCGCTAGCCTTGAGGTGAAGAGTTGAGGGATGGTGCTCAGGCCCAGAGTTCAGGCCCTACGACCAGAACCAAAAAAAAAGGAATCTCATAGACTCTCCCACCTGGTCTGGCTTTGAACCTCAGATCTCAGCTTCCTAAGTAGCTAGGATTATAGGTGTGAGCCACCAACGTCCTGCTCAAAGCCCCCCTCTTAAGGAGGCCTTATAAAACACCAGTGGCCCAGCAAAATGCTGAAATAGGGGCTGAGTGCTCAAAATGAACCAGATGGAATGCAGAAACATGTCAAGCACAGACAATGGATCAGTTAGAATGTGGAAGGTATGTACAATGGGTCAGGTGGAATCTGGAAGCCAAACTCACAAGATGTTCCCATGCAAACAAAATTCAAACCATAATCTGAGGAAGAAACAACCAATTAACAAGCCCCATGAGAAATAAACAGCCAATCTGTGAAGTCCTAAGTAAACTGTATAAAATCCTGTACCCAAAGCTTTATTAGAGCAGGAACAGGGATGACAGCAGCAGCAGCAGCAGTAAAGCATACCCCTCTGTCTAGCAGTCTATTAATTGTTCATTAATGTATCCTAATATCCCTTGTTTCTCCTGTTCCTCTGTCTTGGTAAGCTTTTAACAATGTATGAACTGGCTGCTGGTGACTCATGCCTGTAGTAATCCTAGCTACTCAAGAGGCTGAGATCTGAGGATCACAGTTTGAAGCCAGCCTGGGCAGGAAAGCCCCTAAGATATTTCCAATAAACCATAAAAAAGCTGGAACTGTAGCTGTGGCTCAAGTGGTAGAGCCTTGAGTGAAAAAAGCTAATGGATAAACCCCAGGCCCCTGAGTTCAAGACTCAGTACTAGTACATACACACACAAACTGGAATTCCAGAATCTACTACATCACGGTGGTTTCTATGGAGATAATATTTTCTGTGCACTGTTTCTACATCACTACACACCATTAAAGTGAAGAGCCTATTTGTCCTCTCTCTTCCATATCTCCACTTCCCATAGCAAAGGAGGCAGCAGGAGACTGGGTGAGTCTTTGTACCTCTCTTCTGACACTTTTACTTTCAAGTCTTCTTAAGGCTCCTCAGATGACATCATCTATACTCTGCAGGATCCTTGCTGACTTGTGGAAAGATTTTCAGTTCCAGTGGTTAAGTTCTCCCATGTGCCTCCTCTTCTCACATCCAGACTTTACTTCAGGAGACATCGCAAAGCTGACAGTATCTTCCAATTTGTGAGTCACACCTTGAGTTTGGAGCCCCTCTGATTGGGTGGGGTACACTATCAGAGGCAGGATCCTGGTTCAGTCCTCCATGGATGCCTGAGCTCCTTTTCTCCTGGTGGGATTAGGTACATAGGATGGAACATAGGTACCATAACCCATACTCTAATACAGATCAAGCCATTTTCATCTCCTCAAACTCACCCCTGGGCTGCTTCTCTGGCACAGGGCTAGCTCTTCACCTCAAATGCTTAAAAAGAAATGCTTCATTGGTAACCATGCTTGCAATTCTAGCTACTCAGGAGGCTGAGATCTGAGAATTGAGGTTTGAATCCAGCCTTAGCAGGAAACTCTGTAAGACTCTTACCTCCAACTGAGCATCCTCTCCCCCACAAAAAAATGCCAGAAGTAGAGCTGTGGTTCAAGTGGTAGAGTGCTAGTCTTGAGTAAGAAAGCTTAGGACAGTGCCCTGGCCTTGAGTTCAAGCCCCAACACCAGCACAAGAAAGAAAAGGAAGGAAAGAAAGAGAGAGAGAGAAAGAAAAAGAAAGAAAGAAATGCCTCATCTTTACTTGCAATGTGCCATGGCCAGCTAATAGTCTGTAAGTCTAAGTAATGTGACCACAAAATGATACTGTTAATTGCTGCACTATTTGAAACTTGGTCTTTTCTACTGAAAGTCCTCTAAATGATCTAAAGTTCCTTATATCCAGGCTTCTATGACTCTCAGAATAGGGACCTGTAGGGGGATGTCCAATTTATCTGATTGTATTCCCTGAAGAAAA